CACTTAACAGTCTAATCCACCCATTTGGTCATATTACATTATGGTTGCGTTGACTGTTATCTTCATCATCGAATCCGTATTGATCCTTGGAAATTACATTTTAGATGACAGAATAATACTATGACAGTTAATATAGTTATATTTGTTGTAAAGTCAAGATGTAGAAGTGGAAGCCCGTGCCTCTGCATGAAAACTCTCACTTGTGGTACGAGCAATTGTTGGTAAAGTAAAATAGGACGCTCAAATGTATGTATCAGTACAAAAACTTGTTTAATTCATTTCATCTTATAAATCTGTCGTCTGTCTTGCTGTTTTCATCTCTACTACAATAAATATGCAGGCAACTAAATGCATCGCTTTTTTTTTAAAAAAAAAATTGTAATAATTGGTAAATCAGCTGCATGTCTGAGGCAGGGATGAACTTATGGAAAAGGGCAACGCTAGTGCAGCATCAATTTGGATGGAATCTTGGGCTGCGATGAAAGCTGTCATGAAAGTGCAAACATTTCAAATCATTGTTTTACAGGGTATTGTTGGGTCACTGCCATGGACTGCCATGGTATTCTTCACAATGTGGTTCGAACTAATAGGTGAGCACAAAAGCAACTTTATTACAATATCCTCGTCACATGTTTTAGGATCAAGTGCCTATTACTGCACCAGAATCTTAAGCTGTAAGAGTGTAACTATAGCTTCTTTTTGGAACTATAAAGCCAATGATTTACCTTACAAAATGAAACCTTTATCCTTTTTGGAAGCTTCACAATTCTTGAAAAGGTGACCCAACTAAAATGATGTATGTGATTACTTGATTGTAGGATTTGATCATAACAGCTCAGCAACACTCCTTAGTCTCTTTGCTATCGGATGTGCTGTGGGATCTTTTATAGGTGGATCAATAGCTGATAAGCTGTCTCGTGTATATCCTCATTCTGGGCGTATCATGTGTGCACAATTCAGTGCCTTTATGGGTATTCCATTCTCGTTGTTTCTTCTGAAGGTGATCCCTCAATCAGTAAGCAGCTTTGCCATTTTTGCCATCACTCTCTTGATAATGGGTCTATGTATAAGCTGGAATGCTACAGCCGCAAATGCTCCAATGTTCGCAGAAGTGGTCCCAGTAAAACACAGGACCATGATCTATGCGTTTGATCGTGCTTTTGAGGGATCATTTTCTTCAGTGGCAGCTCCCTTGGTAGGCATTCTTTCTGAGAAGATGTTTGGGTATGATTCTAAGTCTGTTGATTTTGCTAAAGGATCTGCTCCAGAGGCTCTTGCATTGTCCAAAGGCCTTCTTTCCATGATGGTCGTTCCATTTGGATTGTGTTGTTTGTGTTACACGCCATTATATTATATTTTTAAGCGAGACCGTGAGAAAGTTAGAATGCTCACCGTTTCGAAAGAGTCTGAGATGACATGAAAGAGTTTGTTTCTTTTAGTGAGCTGTGTTTCCTCCTTCCACTTGGTCTTATTTTGTTGTGATTCATAAATTTTTGTTGATGACAATTTGATGGCTCCTTTATAGTGAGGCTCACAAGATTTACCCAAAGACCCATTTAATGGATTCTTAGCGCATCAAAATATCCTCTCTTTTTTTGGGGGGGGGGGGGTTTGTGTTATTTCTTCTCTTTCATGACCTGTTTTTGCCCCCAAAATTTGAACATGTGAACAAGGGCCTGTTCCTCCTGTTCAATGATCTGCTTTTCTCCTGGCAATTTGAAAAAGATATGCGAACAAAAGAAATTATTAGACTCTGAGGGGCTAAAGTTGGATGACTATGTTCCCTAATTTTTTTCTTTTCTTTCTTCCCCAGAAAAAACATAGTGGAATACTGAATTGTGAAGATATCCAAATAACAATTTCATTGGATAACCTATCACAATGAATTTTATGATATCATGTTTCAAGTTCATATATTTGAAGAGCTTTGGTGAATAGAGCAGAATGTGGATAGGGTGAACGCCAGATTAAAAGTAGAATGTTGACAGAACCTTGAAGGCTCCCGCATCTCCGTAGAATGCTTACCAACGTAAATCCTAGATTTTACTGCAGCGTAGTTATGAAACTTCCAGAAGCACAAGAAGATACGTGTGTAACATAAAATTTAAGAGATACGATGATAATGTTCATTTATCTAATTTTTGTTTTGTGCCGGATGATTTTCCCGTAAAACAAGAGATACGAAATAAAAATTCGAACTAATAACTAGACGGGAGGAAAACCTTTGTGGAGACGCAGCTGTCCAGGCCAGCAGATTGCTTCTCAACAGATGTTCTCACTTACATTCTCTTGTAGCGCTGTCTCCTTTTTCATCGCTTTCTGCATTCTCTTAAACAGTATAATCGTAGTCCTACACTGGAAAAAACTAATCAATTCTTATCTCAACATACACTTTATAAAATACATGGAGTTATCTGGAGTTAAAAAGAGCATCTGAAAATGCAAATCAAGGAAATCAGAGATTATCATTCCAGGAGATAGGCAGGGTAAGCACACTGCCTGCTGTATACTGGCCAATAACTGTCCTTCAACTTAACAACTAATCGAAGCAAGCTTCTTTATGCACTTGACTTCACCCTTCTCTAGCATGAACCAGTTGATCGATTAAAAAAGTTGATCGATCGGAATGCCTCGACAGTAGGAAACACCATTCCAGGGTATTAAACAGGATACAGAATTTTGCTGTCAATAGTTTTAGATATATTCTTTATCTTTACTCTCGTTACGCAATACATTCAGCTTTCTTTAATCAGATCATCTTTAGAAAGAGAAGATTCAAGAATGGGATACGATCCCTTGTTCAATGAACAACACAATAACATGACGACAAATTACTGAATCTGCGTTTGATGAGGTGACGCGCACAGGATGACACGTGGTTTTGACAAGGAAGCAACATAAAAGAAGAAGAAATAGCGCTACGAATTCCAGTCCCCCAGGCCCTGAGCATGAAATCGAAGGATGGAACCGGATTGCATAAAGAAATAGACGCAGAAGAACCGACAAGTGGGAATAGAGTGCGAAACAATTTAATATGCGAAGAAAAGGAAAGGGGGAAGCGTAATCAAACGGAAGAAGCCCCAATCTCTGCCTCTTCAATTCTAATGCGAGAGAATGCCCCAGAATTTGCAGATTGCCGCAACACGATGAAGTGCAAAAAGACAGCGCCGTTGCCGGGGATCGAACCCGGGTCGCCCGCGTGACAGGCGGGAATACTCGCCACTATACTACAACGACATTGGCGTCTGTTTGCGAACGTAGTAATTAATTGTTGACTTTAAACTCTTCGTCAGCCAACCAAAACACGCTAACGATTTTGTGCTGCTTTGGAGCCTGTTTGGGACTCTGGCTAACATTCCAAATCAGAGTTTGGATTGTCAAACGGGGGGTAAAATTGATAAATTACGGTTTGAGAAAAAGTAAATTCATTCTGCTTCTAGTTTAAATTAAAGAGTATGATTATACCTGTCAGAGCAGATCTCAATATAATATAACTTTAATACCCCTTAATTATTTTTTTTATAAACATATTTAATCTTATATTTTATAAATATATATACAAATATTAATTAATTATTAATTATATTATCTTATATGTCATTAATTATGTTGGTAAAAAATATATTATTAACAATTTTATTCATTCAAATTAAAATATATTATTAAATCCATCTTTTGTGTGATTATCATATTAATTTATACTTTTTGTAGTAATTAGCACATGTAAAAAGTGATTCTGATGATAGCTATTCAAACACTCTCACTTTATCATAATTACTTTTTGACAAAATCTATTTTTTACAAAATCTATCGTCCAAGAATTTATTTTTCAGAAGTTATTTTCTAAACTATGGTTTGGTTTTATCCAAACACCCCCCAATCTATGCACAAATTGCTATGGTTAGGAAATGTTCTTTTATGAGTGAAAAACTGAAGATACTTAGAATTTAGACTTCTGGAAAATTCTCAGGTGTGGATTTGATACTCTTCTCATTTCTTTGTTTTTTTTTTACTTTATTCCTACTGTTAAAATCAGCCATTAAAATTTAATACTTCTCTAATCCTAAATATAAAACTTATTTTATAATATAAATTATACTATAAAATAACTTATATTTAGGATTGAAAGAGTATTTCAAAAATATTATTTTTTCATATGTTTATTTAGCCAATAGTTTTTTAATTAAAAAATTTATTTATTTTTATACAGTTTTATAATATTTATAAAGATATTAAATCACCATTATTCAATTTTTAATTCAAAAATAAAGATGAAACGAGGGTGAAAACAAGAGTGAGAAAGGATGAGTATATGATTAAAATTTAAAAAAAAATCATGGTTGAATATGTTTTGTGCACAAAATTTAAAGGATGAAAGGAAAAACATTAATTTTTCAAAGTTCTAGTTTTAAATTGATAAATAGATGTTATTAAATAGTAATCATAATATATTGAAGAATGTCCTCTAAATTCTTTTCTGTCGTTTTTCTTGCGTTTAACAAAAGTAAAAGCCCAAGGCCGAGTCGCCTTTGACTTTTGAGTTTGGAGGACCACAGCAACATGGCTGTTAGTCTCCGAAAAATCTTAAAAAAGAAGGTGATGAAAAATTTTGTTGAAATGGATAGAGTTAGCAATTTCGAAGAACTTTCAATTGTCTTAATTTAACCCATGGCTGGCATCACAGGTGTAAGACTGAATCAGTATCATATTTTGTTATTAGTGTTACGGGGTGATGTCATAGCCTTTTTATTATATATCGCATGCTTTCTAATTCTACCAGTATGGCAAGGACCTGGTAAAAAAAAAAATCAGTATGGCAAGGACAATGAGCCCAACTTTGACCATGGAGTTAATCAGAGAAGAGTGGGAAAAAAAAGTAAAAAACAAAGAAAGAAAAGCTGACGCGGGAAGCGCTTAGCCGCCAGTCAACGACTAAACATTGTCTCCTAGTTTTTTCCTTCCCCCTTGCTTGTCAGGCCAACTTCTTCCTCCCTCGAACTTTCCCAGTTTGCTGTCCCCACTCTCCACTTTAATACCAATTCTCAATCGGGATTTTATACTACCCCCTCTTTGACTCTCTTCCTTAGCATTGGCTTCCCAATCGGCTGCTTCGATTTAAGCATCAAGTCCCCGATTATCTTGATTTCTCCGTAATTGGGGATTTTCTTTCATCTCGGATTCCCACCGAAGTGGCTACTTGGCCTCGCTACCGCTGTTTTACTTCGATTCGCGGCTGTGAAATCTCATCTTAATTCCAGGTATTTTAAACCTTATAGCGATTTCACCTGCACCTTTTCATTTTGGCTGTTTCAGTTTACATCACCTTCGGATCGGTTCCCTAGATCTAGCCAAAGTTAAATCGTCTGTCCTTTTCATTTCTCCAGCTTCTCACAGATCCGAGTTGCCCCATCCTTGAAAAGATTATATTTTTGGGGGCATTTGCTGAAATTCGAGTCTATTCTTAGTTAATTTGAGGAAAAGAGAGGAGAAATTGAATCCGAATTTTACTTATTACGCGTCCCGTTCTACCTTAGAAGTTTGGTGTTATCTTTTTGTGCTTCGCAGCTCCCTATTCGCACCAAAATTCGTTATGATGGGAGGGCAGTCCAGCAAGACGAGTAAGGCTGATGTGCCTTTGGCTGTCAGATTGGGTACCAATTCCCAGTTCGCAGCTGACTTGAAGTCGTACGAAACTGCATGTGTGGCCGACCCGAACTTACAATCCTTCGACGCCTCCATTCAAGAGCGAACTAACAGGGTGATCAACTCACTTGCCAATGGGGTTCAGGTTCGCTCCTTATCTCTTGATTCTCTGAGAGAAGTGACTGATACTCTGCTAGAAAATCACGAGGAAGTGGTCAGAATCTTTCTGGCATGCAAGAACGATATAATGAAGAACGAAGACCTATCCTCCTTGGTTGACGAGTTTTTTGAAAATAGCCTCTTGACATTGGATTTCTGTAATGAACTTCATCAGTGCTTGAGACGGGCACGTGATAACCAGGTAATAATTAAGTCAGCGCTCAACCATTTTGCGGTAGAGGGCGAAAATGGAGTGGAAGGGGCGAGGTATGTAGAAACGTTGCAGCAACTGAAGAAATTTACCGACGCTGGAGACCCCTTCACGCAAGAGTTTTACTTGTTGTTTGAGTCGGTTTATGCTAAGCAGGTATCAATGTTGGAGAAACTGCAAGCCAGAAAGAGGAAGCTTGATAAGAAACTGAAATCCCTCAAGGCATGGAGGAGGGTGGCAAATGCCATTTTTTTGACCGCATTTGTTTCTGTGTTGATTTTCTCGGTGGTGGCAGCTGTTGTTGTTGCACCACCTATAGTAGCGGCTTTAGCTGGCGCATTGACTGTTCCAATAGGCTCAGTAGGAAAATGGTGTAATTCACTATTTCAGGGATATGAGAAAGCCGTGAAAAGCCAAAGGGAAGTGCTTAGCTCAATGGAGTTTCGTACCTATATCACATTACAGGACTTGGATAGCATTCGATCCCTGGTCAACAAATTGGAAATAAAGATTGGGTCAATGTTGCATAATGCTGATTTTGCTCTCAAGGATGAGGATGCTATGGAGCTTGCACTCGATGAGATCAAGAAGCAGATGGAACATTTTTCCGAGAGTATTGAGACTTTGAATGAGCATGCTGATAGATGTAGTCGGGAGATAAGGAAAGCTAGGACAGTGATTATACATAAGATAATCAAACCTCCACGTTGATAGTTCTTTGCTGTGTCTAGTGATGGCTTTTAATTTTTAGCTTACTATTCTGGACCATTTAAGACTTGCTGATTAAACACCTGGATTATTCATTGGGGTGCGTCAAAAGAAATACAGGGATGGTACTTGTGTATAACATTTCTGTGCTTGATGTGTATGGATCTCTTAAAGATATATATATTATATACATACATATTTATGCACACTGATTATCACAATTTTTGTACTTTTAAGAGTTTCCGGTTATTTTAGCAGCTTAACCCGTCAAAAGTATTCAATTCCCTGTGTGGGCAGATAGACTCAAACTTACTATAGGTTTCGACCCTCTGGCCATAGCCTCTCCCTCCCAGAGAAAGTTGAGGCTGCCTATGAAAAGTATTGAAAACATCACAAGGAATCTCTCTAGGGGGTTCTCATTTATTCTGCTGAAAAAGATTCTGGTTACCATCTGGTCCTCACATGCTGAACTCTCACTTTGAATCCTTCGTGGTTTGGGAATATGTTTGGCAGTCATTTTGTGATCAAGTTGCTACAGATTATTTGATTAATCATGTTTTGTTGGTTTTGATTTGGGGATTGGAATTTTGTTTTATTTTCTCAGTTGCTTGGATAATGGTTATGTGCATCCGGATTAGCTAAGTGATGGCAATGGCTAGCAACCGATTATTGAAGGAGACCCTGGTTTTCGTCTGCTGGAGGATGTTCTGCTTCGGCCTCTTAGGGCCTTCTACCTGTCCGTCCCAAAGCGGGAAGCCTAATGGTTGAGCTATATTATTGTGAAAAATAATTCTTTTCTTCTCAAAAGTAACATTAGAAAAAAAGAACTCTCAGGGGATTGTGGATGCCTCGAGGAACATTTTTGCGCTAGCTACTGATGTTAGGATTCGATGTGGGTCCATAAAAATGGTGTTTATGAACACACTTTTCCCTTAATATATTGCCCAAACAGCACTTACAGACAATGAACGTAAAATATCGTATTATCTTGGATCTAGGATGTACTCGTCATTTGATATATATATATACACATACTGTTACTCAATCCAACATCTCCCGAAATTATATTTTGCTTCCCAAAGCATCTGCTGGTCACACATATTAAATGAAAGTTAATGTGAAAGTTTTATGAATAAGACCAGTTTTTAATGCAAATGATAAAGATTTGTCTTAGAAAATCAACACCTATTTTTCATAAACGTTAATCTAACTTTTATATTTAAAATCAGAAAAAGAATATTTTTCAGCTTCTAGATTATTCTTCATTTCTTCACACTCTTTCGGTCTCGCACTGCCCAGATGGCGAGAGGTGATAACAATGGAGCATGAATTGGGGGCGGATTGGCAAATAATCTGGGTTTGAGAAAATATGTTAAAAAAGTGTTTAATGCGAAAGATTATTTGTTATTTGAAATTGGATAAACTTGCACGGCCATATAAAGGGAGGTAGTATTACACATCTATATAGGATTGTCTAATCTCATTTAACAAGAAATTACTCATACGATTTTTTTTTCAATTTCGTCTGAAAACCATCTAAGAAAGGCTTTGAATTTAACTCTAATTATTTTCTTTAATGAAAATGAAAAGAAAATTGAAGAGGTAGTTACTGTGAGATGAATAAAATTTTAGCACAGGATCACAATATTTGAAGTAAGACATAAAAAGTGTGTTACATTAAAAAAAAAAAAACCTTTGACCTGCTTAACGTAAAGTCTCCCAAAAACAATGGGAGTTTGATAAGAAGATTTTACCCTCTTTGATTTATTTGGCCACTGGCTAGTCATTAAAGTATGGTATTAAAATGGGTTGTATTCTTTGCGGACGGACCTCTTCATGCGTTTTGTTTAATTTCAAGAAAAGAAAACATGTTACTCCGTCCCTTTCAATAGTTTTTTATTAATCTTATGGGGTGATCGCATGCTTTCTAATTTCATGACGCAGACAATGGGTCTCAGGTCCCAAAAAACAAAGAAGAAGAGACAATGGGTCCAACTTTGACGTTGAGAGCAATCGGCCAGTCGGAGAGAGGATCCTTCTTCCCTCGAACTTTCCCGGGTTGCCGTCCCGGTGCCCCGCTGAAGCCCTGTTCTCAACTTTCTGATTGGGGAAAATTTTATCATAGCCCCTCTTTGACGCGTCCCACGGCGTGCTCAGCGTTTTGAGTGCGGAGCAGTGTGGGGCTTTTTTTTTTCTTTTCTTTTCGCTTTTTTCCCTTCCTGTTGATCAGAAGAAAAAAAATATACTACTTTTAATTTTTAATATAAAAATTTATTTGACTTATTTAATTTTAAATATAAGATTCTAATTCACTTTATCTTTCATATTTATTTATTTTTTAAGGTAGTTATTATAATAATAGTAGTTTTAACTAATACACTTGATTAGTAAGGATATCTTAGAAAAGATGATATCTATTATTACAAATAACTAATTTAAATAGTTTTTTTAATATACTCACATTAGTTAACTAGCTCTTATATTAAGAAACGGAGATAGTACTACTATATATTGAAATTATTTTTGGACTAAGTTTCATCTAATACTCTAAAATATTTTTCACGTGTATTCAATAAAAATAGTGGATGTATCTAAAAAAATAATTTTAAAGTGTTGGATGAATCACAAAATATTTTTAGATATCAAATACATTTGACAAGTATTTCAAGATGATGGATAAACAAAAAATTATTTCTAGAATGCTGAACTTGCCTGAAAAATAATTTGAGATGATGGATAATTGTATCAAAAAACACTTTAAGATGTGTGACATATCTAAAAAAATATTTCAGCCTGCTAGATGAAATATAATATCTCAGGATAATAAATATATGTAAAAAAATATTTTAGGGTATTAGATAAAAATTAGGGAGAATGACAGAAAAAGAAATTACAAATTATAAATCCCAAATTAGATTTGGTAACAGAATTTTATTTGATATTGACAAGTTTGAATTTGCAAATTATAACAGATTTTTGTTAATATTTCTTATTTGGTATTTACAAAATCCCAAGGTTTTTTTTTGTCATTCTCCCTAAAAGTTAAACCAAAAATAATTTAATGCATTTTTTTTAATAAAGCATTTTTTTAAATAAAGAAGGTAAAAAAAAAAAGCAGGGGTAAAAGCAAAAAAAAAAAACTAAGGTCGCACGCTGCTCGGCACTAAAAAAGCCAGCGTTTTGGGCACAAAAAAAAAAAAAAAAAAAAACTAAGTCGCGAGCACGGAAACGCGGACGCTTGACGCTTGACGCGCTGACTCCATCCTTAGACTGGCTTCCAAATAAGTTGCTTCTCTTTAAGCACCAAGTCCCAGCTTATCAAGATTTCTCCGTAACTGGGGACTTCTGTTCATCTCGGATTCCCACCTTAGCAGCTACTTGGCCTCGTTACCCTGCTTTGCTTCAATTCGCGGAGTGAAATTGCCTCTTAATTCCAGGGTATTTTTAAACAATATAGCGATTTCACTTGTACCTTTCAATTAAGATTACCTTCCGATCTGTTCCTTAGATCTAGCCAAAGTTAAATCGTCTATCCTTCTTATTTCTCAAGCTTCTCGCACATCCGAGTCTCTCCGTCCTTGAAAAGTTCACATTTTTGGGGCATTTGCTGACATTCGAGTCTATTACTAGTTAATTTGAGGGAGAGAGAAAGAGAGAGGAGGAAGTGAATCCGAATTTTAATTTTACGCATTTCGTTCTGCCTTAGAAGTTGAGTGTTATATTTTTGTGCTTCGCAGCTCCCTATTCGCGCCAAAATTCGTTATGATGGGAGGGCAGTCCAGCAAGACGAGTGAGGCTGATGTGCTTTGGCTATCAGAACGGGTACCGATTCCCAGTTCGCGGCTGACTTGAACTCGTACGAAACTGCATGTGTGGCCGACCCGAACTTACAATCCTTCGACGCCTCCATTCAAGAGCGAACTAACAGGGTGATCAACTCGCTTGCCAATGGGGTTCAGGTTCGCTCGTTATCTATTGATTCTCTGAGAGAAGCGACTGCTGCTCTGTTAGAAAATCACGAAGAAGTAGCCAGAATCTTTCTGGCATGCAAGAATGATATATTAAAGAACAAAGACCTCTCCTCCTGGTTGACGAATTTTTTGAAAATAGCCTCTTGACATTGGATTTCTGTATTAAACTTCGTGAGTGCTTGAGCCAGGCACGTGATAACCAGGTAATAATTAAGTCAGCGCTCAACCATTTTGAGGTAGAGGTCGAAAATGGAGTGGAAGGGGGTGAGATATGTAGAGACATTGCAGCAACTGAAGAAATTTACCGACGCTGGAGACCCCTTCACGAAAGAGTTTTACTTATTGTTTGAGTCGGTTTATGCTAAGCAGGTATCAATGTTGGAGAAACTGCAAGCCAGAAAGAGGACACTTGATAAGAAACTGAAATCCCTCAAGACATGGAGGAGGGTGTCAAATGCCCATTTTTTTAACTGCATCCGTTTCTGTGTTGATTTTCTCGGTGGTGGCTGTTGCCATTGCTGCACCACCTATTGTAACAGCTTGGCTGGTGCATTGGCTGTTCCAATAGGCTCAGTAGGAAAATGGTTAATTCACTATTTCAGGGATTTGGAGAAAGCCGTGAGAAGCCAAAGAGGAGTACTCAGCTCAATGGAGTTTCGTACCTATATCACATTACAGGACTTGGATAGCATTCGATCCCTGGTCAACAGATTGGAAATAAAGATTGAGTCATTGTTGCACAATGCTGATTTTGCCCTCAAGGATGAGGACGCTGTGCAGCTTGCAGTCGATGAGATCAAGAACAGATGGAACATTTTGCCGAGAGTATTGAGACTTTGAATGACCATGTTCTTAGATGCGGTAAGCAGATAACAGAAGCCAGGGCCGTGGTCATACTAAAGATAATCGAACCTCCACGTTGATAGTTCTTTGCTGTGTTTATTGATGACTTTGTATTGTTAGCTTACTATTCTGGATTATAAAGTGAGGTGCCTCAGAAGGAAATACAGGGATGCTACTTGTGTATAACATTTCTACACTTGATATGTAACTATAGGATCTTTCGAGAATGTGTGCGCGTATATATACATAGAGACGCGCATATTTATTATCACAGTTTGTA